TTTTAAAGCGAAAATCGCTCATTTACATTTGTCAGTAATGGTCATAATCGAGTGCTGAAATTCTTATCAATCTGAAGATTCTGCATTGTTTGATTCAATAATAGGTCATGCGATTTTTCTTCCAAAAAAGACCAGACCTTCGTAAAATTGTTTCAAAAATCTCAAAAGAGCAGTTGAAAAGGGGGAAAATTGTTTCGTTTGGCAAAAGGTTCGTACCTGCTGGTTAGCAAAGCTTCCCCAAAAGTTATGAAAATTAGCGAAAGTTGAACATAATGAAAGCGAAAGGTTGTAAATCCCAGCGATTATCTCAGCGGATCACACTGTGAATAAAGCAGCTGAAAAGAGGAAGAAATTCTGCATCGGATACAGCTTGGAATGTTTATTTATTTCTACTGTACGGGGTTTGCGGGTCATTTCAAAAAACAAACAAAACTTTTGCACCAACTTGATGTACCGGGTTCCAATAAAGTATTGTAACCAGCAATTTTTTAGCTATACAGCAAATACTTTTGCGTAAATGTACCCATCACAAGAAAGATTTACGAGCCTGAAAGTTGCCAAAAACTTCTTTTGGAAGTTTCTACTTTGCGGAAGCATAACTTACTTTTAAATGCCTTCGCTCATTGTGTAGCCAAGGACCAGTGATGTCAGGCTTGGATCTTACGGACTATTTTAGAGAAAATTTTGCAAAAAGGTTGAAAGTGTCCAAAACAAAAAACTTTGATCAGAAAGCATCCTGTAGCCAAAACTTTCTTATTCTAATGCGTATTTTTTGAAATTAATTCGGCCATTCCTCATGGATTTAGAGCTAGAAGAATGAAAGGTAAAAATTTTGGGATTTTGTCTCTTTTATTGGCCTGAAACTTTGGAACTACTGAAGAAGAAATTCGGAAGTATACATGGATAACTAGAGGAAACGCTTTTTTAGGCAACATAAAGAGAAATTGATTACGCACCAAATAACAGCGCTTAGAAAAAGAGCTAATAAAAACGTGCATTAATTATGAATCAACGGTTGTCCCTAAAGTTTTCTCCGTTTTTTCAAACTATAAACCACGCAATAAAGATCTGAATGACTCATTCATCACATTCATGCAGCTTTCCCTTCTTTTTCTTATGGATACATTTTCGACCAATCTCATACGATTTTTTTTGATAATTGCCAAAATTCTCCACCCGTCAAAAAATTTATCTGCTCAGAGTTTGGCTAATTTTTGAGAAATTTCATTCCAAGGTTTCGGAAAGGGTTAAATGTGGATCAAGTCGGGCAATTCTCGGACTATAAGAGACTACCTTTAGATTTTCCTAATCTGCTGTTTTTAGCTTTAAAAATTCATTTCTTCGCAGGTCTGGATTTTCGGCAGAATCATGAAACCCGACTGCAGCAAATACAAGCTTTTAAAGTTTTTGCGAATTGCATGATTGCTAATGAACATTATTTATGCAAAACCAAAATTAAATTGATTTGAAAAATTAGCCTTTTGGAGTTTTCGGTAATCTTAAGTGGTAAACATAATCAAAAAGTCGCGGTTTTTATTAAATAAATAATTATTAAGGACTTGGTGAACGTGGTTCATGTAATCTAAAATGAGTACCATGTAGCCAAAGGTGCTCTACATAACAATTATTAGCGCCGTTTGAAAACATCAGGATAAAAATTTTTTGAATTAAGGAAAATTTGGCATTATTGCCGAGCTGCTTAAAAAGCCATGGCGATAACATTGCAAAGACAGGGTGATCAGAGAGCAAATATAGCGCTGTAAGAAAAGATAAAAATTTGAATGAAATGATGCTCAAGTCGTTCATGGCTTGGTATTCTGTGTGGTTTAGTGAGCGGTTGAAAAAAAGAACAAAACTTTTGGGACAACCTAAGATTAGATTGTTGCACAAATTGTTTCAAAAATGCTTAAACAAACTAATCAATTCGCGGAATATACTTATTGTTATGTATATCGAAAGTAGTATTTTATGGTTTTTCTTATTAGGATACCAATATGAGACAAAATCTTTCAAAATCAAGATTCACTATGTTATTGTAAAAAAAATCGGACGTAGCTATCCGCAGAGACAGCCATCAGTAACAACTTCTCTTTGACAAAAAGAGTATGTCGTAAAAGTGATACCAAAAATTAATTTGAATTTTAGTAGAAGTTTCAGTAATTTTAGTCACCAAAGATCGAAAACCACTTTTTAAGTATTCCTCTTAATCAATTTATATCATTGCTACATGCATTGAAGAGATTTTGAATCGAGCACCTTTAAAATGTGGAATATTTTCCCTCTCTAATATACGTACAAATCAGAAGTATTGGAGCTGGATGAAGTGACCGAACATCAGAAATTTTGATGCAAAAGTTTTGCCTAAACCTTATAAATAAATGTTTCAAAAGTAAGTTCACGCTTATTGTTGATAACTACTTTCTCACAAAGCTTTTTACTGTTTTTCGAGTATCATTCAGTAGAGCAAGTTTCAACTCAGACCCTATGCTTCAACCAGATCGGCGGCTAGGCGGAGCTCCGTGGTCTAATTAAGGCCAGAAAATGATCAGAGAGCATGTCGCGAGGGAGGCGCAGGCTGCGTCGCGGACAGGAGCAGTCGCCTAGGTCATGGGGCCTCCCTTCCAGCAACATATCTGGTGAAGGAAAAGGTGCGTATGGGGTTAATCACCCACTGCTCTTCATTGCTGTAGGATTACGATAGGAACTTCTAGCATATAGTGCCGTTGTGAAGGCTTTGAGAAAAAGTTTCGAACAAAATCGTGAAAGTTGTGTAGCAATGTCTTCAGGCATGCTGATCTCTCTAGACAACTCTTTACGGGTGAAGCATTTTGAGTGATCAATAACATCTTTAAAAATTACTGAAAAACATTGTTGTTATTCGCCTGGCATGGCCTATGAAAAAGCCTTATTGTAAAGAAGCGAGAATTTGATACGTACAAATAGCGGCTCAATTTAGCCTAATTGTAGTGTTTTCGGCTCGCTGAGTTTTCGGCTGTTCTGGATTAATATGTAGCCATTGATGACTCAAAACCTTTTTCACTACCGTAAACATACTCCGCTACATTTCATAACTTTTCTCATATTGGATGTGGCGCCCTAATTTTCGACATAATGTAGATTAGACAGTGAGCTACAATGATGAAGTCGTCCGCAGCTTTAATCAAACGTATGAAGCCGAAACTGAGTTGCTATATGAAGTTATTACGATGTTCAGGGTGCACCAAAATTACTGGGGCGTGTTTCATTGGGTGCCAGTTGAATACAAGGCGGACTTGACGATGGATCAAACATTAATCAATCTATCAGCCATCACCATCGTAACGCAATAGACAAATCAGGAATTCGCTACTTTGTCTTTTGAAAATTTTAAATCATTTCGTCCTGAAGTGTACGCTGTACATAGCAAAACAGTTTGTGCAGTATCTTTTTGAAAACCTTTTCTCGTGTTTACTAGTAGAGCGAGCCTTTTTTCCTAATCCTATTAATTAGGAAAACTTGAGTGTTAATTCAAAGAGGTTTTTCAAATTCCAGATATAATTTTAAAGCCACTATAAAGACAGCGATAATTTGGGCCCCCTGAGTGTGCCTGAGAGTCAAAAAATGTCTTCTAAATAGATTTCAAAATTTTTGCACGAATCGACATTCACGAAAACTCTTTGTTTTGAAAACAAAGGAGTGTTTTTATCTAGGAGAATTTGCATCTTTGAGGTCTCACCATCGATTTCCAACTCAGTTACTCCATTTTTGCAAAGGCGTCTTCGTAGTTCAAGAACGAATTCTTGCAAATGCGACTAGGTTCATATGATAGCGCAAGGTGTGCTCTACAATTTCAACGCGGAAAGCTCCAGAGAGGCTCCAAGCGAGAGTAAAATATAAAGGTACAAAAATTCAACTTTTGCTTTCCGAAACTAGAAGTCCCATTCTTTTGATCTCGTATTCTTGAGAAATTTTTGAAGTTTGTGAAATGACTTTATAAGGTTCAATCAGCGCAATCTGCAGCAAAAATTTGAGCTTTTATTTTTTGGTGATATTTTTCCGTGGGGCGACAATAATTTTGGACGCTCCTGTATGTAAAGTTTGATTTGATGCGTTTGATGCAGGCTGAGAAATTGGGGGCTAGAGACAGGTTATAAACATGTGAAATCGTGGAAACAGTGTGTTGCTCCCTATCTTCCTTACTTTACACTTTCTGAGATTCAAATAATAGGGACAGGCAGGGCAGATTTTTATGCCGTTCTTGAAGTTGGGAAGACATCACCTGACATTCAAAATGTAATTCCACGCACAATTGCCTTCCATAGGTTTACACGTTTGAACTGTATAGGCGGAACACTTTTTGCAGGAAAAGTTTCAAATTTTTGATCTTTGCGCCCACAGGAGCATAAAACTGTCATACAAAAAGGCATCACCCTAAGGGCCGGGCATACTTCACCCGATTTCAGTCGCGACGCGATTTGGCGATTCGCCAGAAGCCTTCAGATCCAATACTAGCAAACTGCGCATGCATAGTGTGTATGACTTACGCGAATTGATAAAACGCCCTATCTGCTGCACATCCAAATGGCTTACAGTGACTTATGGACAGATGGAATATTGCCAAATCGTGTCGCGACGGAAATCGCATGAAGTATGCCCCGCCCTTTAAAGCTCAACTTAGTCACTTCTATAAGTAATTATACGTTAGCAGAAAGTCCATTCCAGTCGGGAAGAAAACCGAGAAAACGCGGTCCCCCCCTTCGATTCGAATCATGCGTGTTGCGCACGGTAGTGCTATCGTCACGAATTTTTCGAATGATCTACCGCTTGATGTCACCGTTACTGGTTTTAAATAATAGGTGGGTTTTGTTGTGAAGGGCCAAACATGTCATTATACAGTAGGCCGAGATAGTGAGAACATATAAACGCTATATAATTTTTATTAATCAGGAACATTGGAACGTTCAAGCAAATGTGCAATTATTCGACATGAATATGTTAATTAACACCGACACAAATAAATATCAAATCTCTTCTCGAGCTAGTTCTTCCGCCGTCAACAACTTGATGCGCATGTGCATTTGCCGGCCCTAACATTTTGGAATTTTACCATCATTGAAGGAAATTTCACACACGTTCACCTTTGCATGAATTTCGGTGGCAAAGCTTGTACCATCCAAAAGCAAGTGGGAAGGACGAACCAAATTATCGAATACATCAGTTATTTCCTGCAACACAACAAACAACTTTACACAACAAATCGAAGAACTGTAGAGTTTGCGTGCTTTCTCATCTAAATTGCTTAATACCCGAAGTATAGGCTGCTGCATGACGAAGGCGCAATATCTTTGGGCGCGAACGCGGCTTTATTACCCGCAGAGCGCATAAGGCGCAGCTTCTGCAACGGTAAAGATACGCGCGTGCCACGTTCGCGCCCGCTGGACTAATACTGCTTTTGTGCCTTCGTCATGCAGCAGCCTTTACATTTTGTTATGAGCGCCGCTAGAAAACACATTAATCCTTTTCGCCGAGTTATGAATCGATATAATTTAGAACTTTGGCTAGAAAATGAGATTAGAAGTCATTGCTCGCACTGCTAGGAAGCACATAATCTCATTTTCAAGCATATATTGAATTACCCTGTCGAAGCTTTGATAAAGGGACGACTGTAAATGATTGCGCGGGTTTCTGAAAAAGAACCTGAATTGGATGCTCTCACTGTTAAGATATGCAAACTTTAAAGTGAGACTCTGTAAAGTATTCAAGTCTATTGAGCAAAAGTAAAGGATCGATAGGTTAGATATGTGCAAGCGATTGATTGTTTTTTGCACCGAACTTATGTAGGAAAGAACTACCAATATTGAGAAGCTTACAGTCAACTTTCCTCGTCCATAGGCGCCCTTCATTCCAGCAATGTTAGGCAGAGAGGCCTGAAAACTCAAGAAATGACATTAACAATTTCTGTAATTCTGAAGGCATATTTTCGTGAAATGAAATTCAGCAAAGTTTTCACAAAAGTTGTACATTCGCGTGGCAAATATATCTTAATATTATTATTACTACTATTATAGTTGATCAGAAAGTAAGAAAAACTATGATAGAGGCGTCAAATGCTGATGTATTGCCAAAAGTGAAGTTTTTATCATCTCGTTAGTAAAATGATGATTTATCACTTTTCTGAAATCCAGCAATACCAAGCTCTAATTTGCAAATTGCAAGCAAGGCGGTTGCATACCTTCGCTTTTGTGAGCTGGGACTTTGCATCATTATTTACTGTTCTAGTGTACTTAATCGAGGGGTTTCGCACAAAGTCGATGCTACGCATTCTCTGACATAATATAGTCGTAGCGCCAATCAGAATCAGAAATGCCAGACTTATGAAAAGCGACGGCTCTGTATACTCCTAAAATTGAAATTAAACTAATCAAAAGCATCGCAACTTTCTAAAATTATTACATTATGTACTGGTGTTGGTCCCGTTGCTGTTTTTCGTTTTGCAGACTCACTGTCCTGAAGGAGCATTACATCTAAATAAAAAACTACTTTCTGCCTACAACAATTAGCAACCTTCAAAAGTCGCAAAAGAAGATTTCCATCTATATGAGGTATATGGATCGGTAGAAATAACTGCTGAAGAAGAAACCCTGAAGGTAGTGGAGACTTCTAGCGAAAAACATTAACGCTCACTTGATCGGCAAGATATTTTTGCCACTTCATCCATTTCACTCCGTAGAGCGTGCTTTCTTCGGTAGTGCTCGCAGAAGTATCAGATTCACTGTGATTGCTTGATTCTGGTAGTCCAAGGGTCGTATCCTTTTCGCCTGCTTTGACGCGAGCTTTCTGCGTAGGTCGAGTTGGTCGAGTCGAGTCGAGTAATGTTTGATTGTCTTAAACATAATTTTCTTAGTTCGATCTTCCTTAGAATGTCACGAAAATTACCTGACATATTGCTTCTTTTCACCAACACTGTGACTCTCCTTTTTTGCCTCTCTTTTCGTACGATGCTCGTAAAAATGCTGTTCTCCTTCAACATAGATTTAGAAACGTTGTCAACTTTTGTTAAAGTTGTAGTTTTGTTTTTGAGTGGTAACGGTGAGGAAATATAACAATGTGAGCTGAAAGAAAAGCTTAAGCAAAAGGTGAGAAAGTTGCACCGACTACCAACACGAGTATAGCTAAGCTGGCGATAAGTTGGTCTGATGCCACATGCATCAGCATATAAAAGAGCAAACCATGCGAATGAACATTACCATAAAACTTGCTCAAAATTACTTCAGCATGTTTACCATTCTTGTGTGAGCGTACTCTAATACGAATGAGCCTAAGAAGTCTTGAACAAAAAACGCTTGCAGACGTTGCAAGCCTGGCAGTCGAGTTACTACCATCTTCGCAGGTCCGCGTTACCGCTATAGATTAGAACACAGACTTCCTCTTTTTTCTACATATCTTTGAAATATTTTCGTTCTGCTATTTGCGAAACAAGTATTTTTGTTGACATGTGAATCTGTAAAATCAATCGACCCGGTTATTCAGCAGAGCTGTGTTTACCTTCCTGCAGAGGACTGGCACTGGCTTTACTATCTACATTCTAACGCTCTTCTAAGAAGTAATATGCACTGTCGTTTCTTGTAGACCCAAGGGTGATCCACAGGGAATCACCTGGGAATCCCTGGGGATCACACAAAATGGCAAAAAACCAATCCTGTGTGGAAGTGACCTGGCATCCATTATGGTAGGTATAAGTGTATATGTGGCGGCTCGGTGGGCCCTAAGCACCTAAATTTACCCGAGTTACCCGCACGCTCGCCCCTTATTACATACGACGCAACCTAGGCTACACTGACACTAGCGCGTAAAAGACAGTATTAAATTACTTATAGTTTATCCTTATGACACAAAGGAAAACAAATAGACACTAAACTAAAATACTAAACTACTACAACTTAGACTACTAAATAAAAGAAAAGCCCTAACACGGGAAAGGGTGCCCTGTCCCGTGCTACCGATGTTGCACGTCTACAAACCTCCAATAACATGCTCCCGAGGCTTCGCCAATACAGATCCGCCGCGCGCCGCCGGATACCAGGCGCGACAGCCTCTCCGCTCCCAAGGTTTATAAGATTTTAATATTCTAAATCAAAAGTAGCTCGTCCGAAACAATCCCAAATCAGACTTAAATCTTAATTCAATACAACTTCCGATCCGCTCGACCGCTAACGCAAAAGAGACATCAAAGGCGGGAGCTAAATGCCAGGCACGAGCACAATGAAAAACGTAAGAAAAGATTATTGATCAAAAACGAAACAGACAGGCGTTGAAATGAGGCGCCGACGCTATTTATAGCCTCTTGGCTGCCAACGCGCCAAGGCGAGGAGAGGTCCAGCGGCGATTGCGGCAAGCGTGGGAAAGTACAGTAATCGTCGCCGGATAGCGCGGCACAACCAGTGCTCCCGGCCTCCTACTTAGGAGCGCTCGCATCGCGGAGCCGCGACAGTATGTAAAACTTTATAAGCAAGATAGTGAAAAAAGAAGAAAGATACGTAGGAGAGCGAGATATGATACATCCCCTCTCAAATCCCCTCCCCTCTCCAGCGGGGATGTACATGCATATGGGCCTTGTGTGCGATGGCCCCAGCTACCAAACACGCTGTTCAGCTCGAGAAAATAGCGATATAGAGAAAGGAGAAACCCAGAAAAAAAGGAGATAAATCCGTTGCGCTCAGGTCTGCAAAAAGGCACATTTCTCAGATTATAGGCGCACAGAACTTGCAGAAGCTTGATTTGTAAATCCGTTTTATAACCTTCGCATTGATTAGATGAAGCGGCATCCGACTGCTTCTTGCTCTGATACCTGGGCCTTTTCCAAGCGAATTATAGCTTATCAAATCTAAGGTGTGTAAAACTAAACTCTCCAACTTTTTCGAAACGCAGCCGGCGCTCTTCTTTAGAAAAAGAACACATGATATAATCAGTAGCCTAAGATTGTCGGTAGATGACCGAAACATCGTTGCGCGACAGCCACTCATGGTGAAGATAAAACAATTTAGCTCAACCTTTATTGGCAGAACTTTCTTTACAACCTAATTTTTTTCATTCCCATTCGTGAAGCAGCTATAAAATCACAATTAGCCCCGATTTGAACGCGCGCTAATGCACTTGAAAAACTCGGAAGACGATAATTCGAAGCGGTAAACGCTTATTTGTTTGTAAACTTAGTACTGAATCATAACTGACTTTAGTAGGTTTCAAATTCCGGAAAATAGCATATGAGTTCGTGTAGGCACAAAATTATACTTTTGGAAATCACCTCAAAAACCAGCTACGAAGCTACAAAAATGCGTTACACTGCACATTAGTTCCTCTGTCCAGCTGTTATTAGAGCACTTCCAAAAATTCAAAGTGAAAATGCGGAAAAATTGCCAGAGTCGGTCACGGCGACAACATGTGTTCGACTTCCGTGATTATTTCACTAACAGAGCAGATACTGCAAATACATGGCTGAAAAGAGGAAGAAAAGCCGAGTCGAACAGTTCTCTAAACGTTCATCTTGGGTGGAGCATTATACGTCGCCGAAAGTGGATGGTCTCACGCTGACATCAGCACAAAGTACGCAGCTCCACACATCAAAGACATAACAAATTTGTACCGACTCCAATCCGCGCGACGCGGAGCCTATCGGCGATGTATATATAATAGTTCCCCACCCGCTTATCTTTATTCCACTTGTTTTTATGATAGATGTGAAGAAAGGCGCGAACTTTTGGACCAACCCGATATTATCAAATCACTTCCTTTGGCTTCGGGCAGAGTTCACGCGATTTGATCGTCGCAACACAGTTGCTACAATACAAGTGTTACGAGTTCATTGCATGCCGATCTTCTCGCATTTCGGTTGTGATAGTTTTCCAACACGTCTAATCGTGACTAACTACCACAACCGGAATACAAGAAGATCGGCATGCCATTGAATCGCGACGATCAGATCGCGTGAACTCTGCCCGAGGCCTATGACACCGATTGAACCTTTTGGTTAGCGCAGGTTTTGAGCTGGTACACCGACTTCTCTTTCCTTAATCCTGCGGAATATATTTTTTTCTCTCAGATGCCCAACTTTCTGAAACTGCGATGGATCCAGATTATTTTTACTCCTTTGAGGTATTCTCGAAAAGGGCAAGAAAAATCAAGAAAAGGAAAACTTCGGGTGTTTAGCGAACTTGCTTTGGCATCAGCTCGGTACGAGGTATCCCCGGTGGATTTCAAAAACGATTTCTTTCATGATCTCGTAAACAAAGACGCTTTTGATATTCAAATAAGAAGGAACAGAAAAAACGTGACACGCATGTAATAAAAGCAATGTTGTTTGAATGAAAGCATGCTTTCCTGCGCGCATCTCTTTGCGGTTGGGCAGAATTGCACCACTCTTCAGAGCTTTTCAGGGGTATAACTAAGCAGAGAATAGAGTATTTGAGACGGCGAGAACTAATATGTAGGACATAGAGTGTAAATAAAAGTTGATGGCAAAGTGAGTTATATGAAAAGGAAAACTTATGACTTTTTTTTTCTGAGCACACTTCAGACGGCGCAGGTGGCCTGCTAGACTCTGCAAAAATTTTCCACGCTTTTGATTTACATGTCCTTCATAATTTTTTGTACATTGTTCCAACAATTGTTCGAGACGTCATTGATGTCCGCTCGGCAACTCAAAGAATGAACAGCGGTGTTACTTGGGCATACTTCAAGCGCAGTCGCGATACGAGTTGGCGCACTCTGTTCATAACTCATCGTAAACGCATTTTGAATGTTTGGAAGATAGGGCATTCCATTAATATACATGCTCTCCATTTGCAGGCGCTTATTCGCTTGGATTTCAAGACATTGCAAGATCTCGTGGCGATTGAAATCACGTGAAGTATGCTAAACAGGATGATCTTATCTAGCAAGAATTCAAAATATAATGGTCATTACGATTGTTAATCATTGTTAGTTTTGTAGGGAGCGTAGCTGGTGGTATCTCCACACACGATGGCACATGCACTCATTGCAAGTCTCGTAGACAAATTATTATCAGGTGAATAGTGTTTTTATCTATATGTACTGCACTTAAAGTTGCTAATACCTAGTTCAGTTAACGATGCGGCAAATCCATCTCTCACATACACTACTACGGAGGGAATTATAAGAGAGGCCATCGACGTTTGCACACAAATTGTACTCGACCAAGATACAATGGTGGAGATTGAAGCACCCGTGAATGTTAGCTTGAGCTCTTGTATGCAGTTTATTGCTTAGACACTAATTGTATTCTTGTGCGCCTTTAACTACGATCAGCATAGCTGAGTTCAGGGCATTATGACGAAGGAAGAGGATGTTCCAAGCGGACATCCGCAGGAAACCCCGCACCTCCATCACTACACCTCTGTGCCAAGTGTCCGCTCGAGTGGAGTCCGCTGCTCAGACAGTTTGCTGTTCTATGCCTGTCAGTGGCAATCACAGAAGTAGAGGGAATAAGCATTTCTGATTAGCCGAAGACGCTAATTCATGCATGCATGGAGACCCTTTAGATATTGATGGTAGAACGGATTTTCTTCTTCTGAGATTAACACTTCAGATGTGCGCCAAGGGATGAAGCACACTCCACCCAGAGTGAGATTTTGATCTCAGTGGAGGGCTTGTGAATGAACAAGCCAAGAGTCTTGCTGCAAAAGATAAATTTCAAAGCGAAAAAACCGTTCCAGAGGGTAGAAGAGGCCATGCTGGCCCCGTCCATCAGTGTGGGTGGTCTGAAAGTTACAAGTCTAAAACACGGCTTTGGAGTTGAAAGAATGTAGCAAATTTATTTTCATAATGAAGCGGGTTTATGACAATTTCGATATATCAGAGCCTTTTATTGACCTTTTATTTTCAGATCCCCCACGTTGATGGACATGGCCAGTTTCGCCATTTCTACCTTCTGGAGCGGTTTTTTCTCACTGGAATCCATCTGTTGCAGCGAAATTTGGGTCATTGCTCAATTTTGGGCCCCGTTATCATATAACATCATTTCATCACCTCGATTTAGGGTGGACGGTGCATTTGACTTTATTAACAACTAGTTGGCTTTCCCGGTCCAGACCGGGCCACTGTTCTCCTGCATGCGAGCCCACCCCTCCCCTTTTATATGTTACCAGTGCGTCACCTCTGCTTCCGCGGCTCGCACTGGCCCTACTATCTATGTGCCTTACTCATTCTCGTAATTTAGCATTCTCCATTATGAAGAGGCTGCGGACGAAACCCCGTTGCGACTTTTTGTCATTGGGGACGCCGCTCCATCGCCGCAGGAGTTTTCACGCATGCGAGCCCTAGTGTGCAACGATAGCATTTGCTTGAAAGCTTTCTTCAGAAGGAGCAAAATTGTGAGGTGCTTGGGAGAATTCAGCTGCACTCTAACTTTCTGAACAGGAACCTTTGACAATTGCAGGCGCTTTTCTAAACAGCGAAATCTGCCGCTTGAAATCAAGAGTTTGCATGTCCGTCACAGCGTCCCCCAGTGCCCTCTCCTTATTAACAGTTATTATTCTAAAACTCACTCGAATGATGGCGATCACCACCAATGAAGTGTAAACAGCTATCCATTGCAAGCTCTACCATATTAGAGTGGTAACTTCAAGCATAAAAAACTTCTCGTCGAGAGTGAAAATTGATTTTTGGTAACTACTGAGGTTATTATGAAGTGATTATCGACATGAAGCCGTCGCTACTGCACATTACACCACTGAGCAAAAATCTGCCCATTTGTACACGAAATTTCTAGAAAATATGAACGAAAGCTGAACTATCTTTTCCGGCGTCGCTTTCGTGAAACTGAGAATTTCGAACATTTTTTGTCCATAAGCTCATGCTTTATAGGGTTTCCAACGAAAACAATCACTGCACTACTGAAGTGTAAAAATCTTCCTCCAATTTTCTTCATCAAAAGCTATGTGGATGGATAGTATACTTTGGACCGAATCGAATGAATATTCGATTATTCGAATAAATATTCGAATGCGAATGATTCAAAAATTCGAATATTCGAAAATCTGAGATTTCGAATAATATTCGATAGTTGAATATTCGAAAAAATTCATTTTCGAATATTATTCGAAAGTCGAATATTCGAAATTCTCAATTTTCGAATATTATTCGAAAGTCGAATATTCGATGGTCATTAATCCGATCATTCGATGTCCATGGAATATTCGAATAATCGATGAGCACCGAATATTCGAAAATTCGATAAGAATTGACTATTCGAAAATTCGAAGCATCGAATATTCGGAATTTCGATATCCACAACATATACGGGGTGTCCCAAGGGTATGTACAAACTGTTTAATCGCTAGTACCTCTCACGAAGTCTTTTGCCAACCTTTAAGTAACATCCTGTAGGGATGGCTTCAGCTTACAAATACAGCAGAAAGCAAATCACCTATGTTTTTCTTGTTGTGTTATCACGTTATGAACTAGCATATAGAGCAACTGCGAAATGAGACATCCAAAAGAGTTTCCTCAACAAAAAGAGATTTCAAATCTATGTAGCAAGATTTTACGTATGTTCAGCTAGCACGGGCTATCAAGCTTTTCAAATGTGCATTCTCTTTTTTGAAAAGCGCTGGAAAACATCTGTTGTGGTGTACCTGGCATAAGTTGCAAAAGGCGTTGCGGTTGAGTGCAAATTCTTTATATAGAGAGTGTCTCTAGAAGCCTAGTGTAAGATCGGCCTTTTTGTTTCTCATTCTTGGGCAAACGGCTCTTGTTATCTCAAAACCCTCCTCAGTTTTCCTACGGTAATTTACAACAGTGAAAATCGATCGATACATCGCTTCATACTTTAAGTCTAGGTTGATGTCAGCCCACAGATTCACATACTGTTGGGAGTGCAGGGTCCCGCAACGACTCTGCGTCTCTACCCTGCATGCATCTCGTACTCACGAGTCTACCGTAAGATCCGGGCCACTTACGGGGGCAGATTTTAGGCCTGGTAGCCCCCTTTTTCGCTCCGAACATCAGTCATCGCTTAGGTGGGGGGACTACTTTAACATCGCCACAATCCGGCACCCATCTTCTTGCCGGGGCAACTGAACCGTTTTTTCGTTGTAAATTGAAACATAAAAAATGTCTATACCTGAAAAAATTTATTCTGAGATGTTCTGGTCTCTCACAGGTAGTCTCACTGACATAATTTATTCGCATAGTATTCGAAAATCGAATATTATTCGAGAACCGAATAATATTCGAAATTTGAATATCGAATGGTATTCGATATTCGAAAATTATTCGATTCGAAAACTTCCATTTTCGAACAAAATTCGATAGTCGAATATTCGAAGTTTTCAATTTTCGAATAATATTCGATAGTCGAATATTCGAGGATTTCGATTTTTGAATATTATTCGATATTCGAATATTCGAAAAAAATTTCGAAATTCCCAAAGTATAATGGATAGGCTTTACATGCGATCCTGAGGGAACGGCGCATTGGTTCCGCTCCTCCTTGCGCATATACATGCTAAAAGCATGTAGATTAGCATAAGTAGCTAGCGCCATCCTTGGCATAAAAGTTAGTAAAGCTTCATGACGTCTTTGAAACTCACCTCCCTATGCTGAGCATTACCAATGAATTGTAAACAACTACTCATTCCAAAAGCTTTTTTATGTAAAATCGGTGACTTTTAGAAGACGAAATTTTTCTGCAGAAAAATAGACGCAAATTTGAATTAGTTATTGAATTCATTACGGCTTAACAGGTGCTATAACGGAGAGTGACCACCATGAGCTACATCTCTGAGCAAAAAATCCCTTTGATTTTCCAAGTAGAAGCTTGAGAATTGTGCAGTTTATTCCACCGACCCTTTTTGGCGCCATATATCTACAATTTCCATCTTTTGATCAATTTTTGGGCTGAAATCGATGGCTTACACATATATTAGGTTGTACCGAAAGTTCTTTCGCACCAAATTCACAAATTCATAACTTGTTGAATTCTCAACGACTTTACAAGATCTAAATTTTGTATAAGAGAAGAACTCATGCTCTTTGCATCTGTTCCTGAAATGTTCGTTATTGTTTACAAATGAAGGGGATGGAAGCTAAAAACCAAAATCACTCAAAAATTGAATTTTTCGTGTAGGGTCATAAAAAGTCGGAAAATTGCAACAAAAATCGGAGCAGTCGGCATTGTAGGTTCTTTCACCAGCTCTTTCTAAAGGTGCAAAGTGTGCGGCGATTGAGCGTCTCTATGAAAAGTCACGATTTTCCTGAAAAATGCCAAAATAAACCAAAGTCGCCCTTTTGTATTGCTTGCTCGAAAATCATAGCTTTCATAGAGACGCTCAATCACCGCAAACTTTGCACCATTGTAAAAAAAAACCTGAAAGAACCTACAATACCGCTGCTCCAATTTTTGTTGCAAGTTTCCGATTTTTTATGACCCTACACGAAAAATTCAATTTTTGAGTGATTTTGGTTTTTAGCTTCTATCTCCTTCATTTGTAAACATTAACGAACATTTCAGGTACAGTTGCAAAGAGCATGAGTTCCACTCTTATACAAAATTTAGTTCTTGTAAATTCAACAAGAATTCAACAAGTTATGAATTTTTGAATTTGGTGCGGAAGAACTTTCGGTACAACCTGATATATGTCGTGAAAGTTCAAAACTTTGCAAAAGATCTAATTACGGACCCACTTCTGCAAGCTTAAAGCGGTGCGGATCCGTTTGAAGCGCAGTTTTCGTGGGATCCACGCAATGGGTCCGCTCGCCCTTGTACATGATGACTTCAATCCAAAAGTAATCTCAAAAAATTCTAGTGCAAAACGATCCAGAACGAATTCAATGCGTAAATTGTCGTTCTGTCGCGGTCTTATTTAGGGAAGAGAGTCCATACTTTGCTGTGAATGTGCCTTCATACCGCATCGGCAGCCCATAGTAGCTCTCAGTAGCCGCCCGGCCCGTAGCCGCCGCTGGCCGCTTTTGTTTATAGGAGCAAAAATATATCAGAGTCTCACTTTTCTGAGTACGTCCGCCTAAGCTTCTCATCTCCCATGCTTTTCCCTTCCTCTTGCGCCGCTATGCAACACCCATATTTGTGTCCATTGTTTGTTATCTTGTTGATCTATACTGGTTATCCTATTGGTGCTCAATTTCTTTCTTGCATTTGAATCATAGTTCGCTTAAGTTCTTCGCGTTGTGATTTCTCTGATTTCGGCTGCGTCCAATTTTTGTGGGTGTGCTAA